CCCCCGCCTCCCCTCCCTCGCTCCCTCCTTCCCTCCCTCTGAGCCCAATTACTCAAGCCGCTTCCTTCCCCAGCGCCCGCGCCAGTTCCTCTCCTGGTGCGGCCCGGGCAGGGTGAGGAGCTGTAGATCGCGCCTGGCTGCGGTTGCAGCGGCAGGAGCATGGCCCAGCCCCGAGGGGACGCGAGTCGGCCGTCCAGGGCCTCCCTGACCATGGCGCTGAGCCTGCGGAGCGCCCCGCAGCACCATCTCTCCAGGCTGGACACCGGGAGCCTGGGCAGATACCGTGGCGCTGCCGCCAACGCTCGGGAGTCCTCCTTTCAAGGCTCCGGGATGCTCTCGGGAGCCGGCTTTGCGCGCCGGCGGGGAGCGCTCCGCGAGCTGTTGGGACTGCAGGGGGCGACTCCCGCTGGGTGGCCGTCGGAGGAGCGCGTGGACGAGCCGCCGCCAGCCGCGCCGGCCGGCAGCGGGCTGTGCATGGATCTGCGGGAGCACGCCTGGATGCTGGCGGCCGCCGGGGGCCGCTTTGAGGAGCTGCAGGAACTGCTGGAGGCTGAGCCGGGACTGCTGCTACGGAGCGACCCGATCACCGGCTACACGCTGCTGCACTGGCTGGCCAAGCACGGGCGTCACGAGGAGCTCATCCTGGTGCATGACTTCGCCCAGCGCCAGGGGCTGCAGCTCGACGTGAGCGTCCCGGGCAGCGGCGGCCTCACGCCTCTCCACCTGGCTACCCAGCAGGGTCACGACATGGTCATCAAGGTGCTGGTTGGCGCCCTGGGCGCCGACCCCACGCGTCGCGACCACAGCGGCCATCGAGCCTGCCACTACCTGCGGCCCGACGCACCCCGGAGGCTGTGGGAGCTGTCGGGGGCCGAGGATTGGGAAGTGATGGGCGGTGACGAGCGTAACAACTCCAACAACAACAGCAGCGGTGGTGCCGCGCGGCTCCTGCGATGGACCCTGAGCCCAGCGGGCACGACGGCCGTGGAGGCAACGGCTAGAGCGGCGGCGCCGTCGGCCAAGGGGAAGGATTCCGTGGGCTCCCGAGTGGCGCAAATTCAAGGCCTTTTGCGCCAAGTGTTTCCCTTCTTCCAGGACCGTTGAGGGCGGCGGAGACGGGAAGGTGCAGTGCCCCGATGCTGCGGGAAGCCTCGGTGCTTGGGTCTCCCAGATCCCACCGCGGGGGCGAGGCCACCGTCACAGAGCAGGCCACAGCCAAAGGCGAGGTCGGGAAGGAGCCGACCGGGTCGGGGCCGGTCTCAGGTACCTGTCCCATGCCTGCTGCAGCTACCGGCCAGGAGGACCCAAACCAGAGCACCCCCATAACCGAGAGAGCCAAGGGCCAGGCCGGCCTGGCGAGGGGTCCCAAAGCTGGTAGGACAAAGGAGTTAAGAGCAAAGTGCGGGTCTTGCTGTGGGAGAGGGACCGTTAAGCTTCCACGAGCTATTTCTGGGCGGTCAGAAGCTTGGGGTTATTAGGAAACATTTACTAGAATAATGAGTGAGAACTGTAACACGTTGATGCAGAGGAACTGGCTACCTGCAGGCCCAACTCGGCCATTAGCCGGTCGCATTGTGCCAGTGGAGTCACCCTCTGGCGACCTGCTCTTGAGACAACCAGATCTCACCAGTACCTTTTCTAATGTATCACGGATGACTTCTTAAGTGCATTAAAATGGAATATGTTTTCCTGTCGCATGGCAAAGAAGTCCTTTGACTGTCTTTTTTTCTCCCCTTCTTCTCCTTCCATTAACCACAGAGGGTTTTAAGCTCCATGCTTTGCAGGGGAAAGGTTACCAAGCCGGGGCCCCATGGCTATGAGCTAAAGGTCCAAGGTAGGGTCGGGACCTCATTCTCAGAGCATAAGAAGTCTGCTGAAGGAGCGACTTTCACCTTGGCTCTGAGACACACGTCCCCCCATACCTCTCTTTGGCATATAGGTCTGGCATCTGTCACAAGGAAGAATCATCCTAGAGGAATTGTGTAGGGGGCAGAGGGGTGGTAAAAGGGAAAGCTCTCCAAATTTACAGTCGGTATTTCCTGGCAAATCATGTGAAGGAGCTCTGGTGGCACAATGGGTAAGGCATATGACTACTATCCAGAAGGTCAGTGGTTCAAACCCACCAGCTGCTCTGTAGGAGGAAGAAAGATTTTTTGCAGCCTTGGAAACCCAATGGGGGTCTATGAGATGGAATTGACTCCATAGCAGTGCATTTTTTCAGTGCAGTGAGTCATGTAACTTACCTCCACTTGTGACTTGTGCCCTCCAATGAGACACACCCACTGGCACTGTTTTTCCAAGATAGAGTTTTCCCCATAAACACTGCCTTTTTTAAAAAATTAAGTTTAATACACAAGTTGTAGTTTGAAAAATTGCTCCAGTTCACAAATAGCATGAATTGAGTAAAATACAGGAGGGTTGACTCAGCCTGAAAGGAAGGAGAAGCAGTGCGTGGCAAGAGAGCCATGCTACCTGGGAGAACTACATTTTATAAAATAACTGTACCCATGGAGGCTTGGTAGCTTCTCATCCCAGTCCTTGAACAACAGGAAGAAACCATCCCTAAGGAACCGAGAGGTGCAACCCTGAGCCCACCCATCCAGGGTTTTCTCTCTGTCTGGGGGGCCTGTTTGCCCTCTTTGTTGCCTTCTCTGTGCTCAAAACTTTCTCACTCTCTCTAAATAACTCATTAGGTTCTTCTCATCCACAAAATGATCTAAACCCTGCCTACTAATGGTTTCAGCCTGTCTCATGCCTTCAGGAACTATACCTTACACATCTTCAGATGGTAGCATGAACAGTTAAGCTCTCGGCTGATAACCAAAAGGTTGGCAGTTCAAGTGCACCAAGAGGTGCCTTGGAAGAAAGTCCTGGCAATCTAACTCTGAAAAATCAGCCATTGAAAATCCTATGGAGCACACTTCTGCCCCGACACACACAGGGTCATTACAAGTCAGAATCAACTTGATGGCTACTGGGTTTTTTGTACTTGATTTTCGGTGAAAATATACATAACAAAACATGCACCAATTCAACAATTTCTACATGTACAATTCAGTGACACCGGTTACATTCTTCAAGCTGTGTGACTGTTCTCATTATCCTTTTCCATTAATATAAACTCACTACCCCCTAAGCTTCTTATCTAACCTTGCTAGATAAGAATTGTGAATTTGATGACAATAAGCTATTGTCTATTTGATGGTGTATAGATAGTTCTTGAAAAGAGCACAATGCAAATGCAAATGTTCTTTACTAATTAAGCTAAACTGTTGTTTGATTTAAAGATTATGTCAGGGTTTTGTTCTGTTTTTTTTTTTTTTTTTTTGCCAGTGTCTTCTTGTGGTGTTGCTATTTGCTGTCAAGTTGGTGTTGCTATTTGCTGTCAAGTCAGACCCGCCATAGTGACCCCTCCTTGGGTTTCTGAGGCAGTATCACTACGGAAGTAGATTGCCCAACCTTCCTTCCGAGGAGTGGCTGGTGGGTTTGAACCGCCAGCCTTCTGGTTAGTAGTCAAATGCCTTAGGCACTACGCTACCAGAGCTCCTTTTTCCAGTGTAGCATTTCCTTTCTCTTCTGCAGTGAACTTTCCTTTGATGTTTGGGGCAGTGCAGGGTTAGCAGTCCTGAATTCTGGCATTTGGGTAATAGGTTCATAAGCTCCCTGACAACTCCTTGTACCCATTAACATATGCAAACTGGCTAACTGATGCTGGACTTTGGTTTCTGCTCCACCACCTCCACCTTGACAACTGCCAAGATAGGTCAGGTTTGCTGAAGGCGATCTGGACAAGACCTTCCAATTGCTGTTCTTGGCTTTGAGGGAAGATAGGTGTGTGCCTTGGCCAAGTATTCAAAGGTCTCTTATAACAATAACAACAACAAAACCCATTGCTGTCAAGTCAGTTCTGACTCATAGAGACCCTATAGGACAGAGTAGAATTGCGCCATAGGGTTTCCAAGGCTGTAAATCTTTACAGAAGCAGATGGCTTCATCTTTCTCCCACAGAGCAGCTGGTAGGTTTGAACCGCTGACCTTTTTGGTTGGCAGCCGAGTGCTTTAACTTCTGTGCCATCAGGGCCCTCTTTAAAGGAAAAGTTAGAACCTAAGTATCTTAACTACGAGCGGATCTGAGGACCTGAGACAAGCATTGTCCCCGCCCTTTCCAAATCAGCTGGACGATTTAAGAACAGCTTCCTATAGTTTTTCCTGGAGTCAGCTATTCTTCCCCACAGATTTTTCTCATCATGTGATATTGCCTAGCCTACCTCCTCCATGTAAAATTGAGGTTTGGCTTCAGGGAACAAACTCCCATGCTGAAAACTCTCCATGCCTAACATCAAGCCATTGGCATTTCTGGTATGCTATTCGAGGCAAGACTGGTATGCTTACCCCAAGAGAAAGAGTAAATTCCCCGAGAAACCTCTTTCCAGGGGAGCAAAACAGAGTTAAGCAGATGATGCAAAATTGCATTCTAGCGGGAGACCAGGCAAGGAAAGGAGACCATTCGAAGCAGGACTGGGACAGGTAAGCCTGAAGTGGAGCTGGAGGGAGGAAAGTGCTGAAGGAACACAGGGCAGGCCTGACCCAGAGAGAGGTGCTGGAGAGAGTTTCTGGGGAGGAAAGAAAGCCTGATCTGAGGTTCTGGGGAGCAGGAGGAGGGCAATTCCTGGCAAAGTGCCCAGGGTATGTTTGAGGGAATGTGGCCAGTACCTAGAACCCTGAGTCAGTCAGTTGACAGGAGAGTGGAGAGAAAGATAAGGCAGGAGAAGTAGATGGGGATCCATATCACTAAGGGTCTCAAAACCAGGACCAGTTGCCATCCAGTCAGAGTAGAACTGGGTTCTATAGCGTTTTCAATGGCTATGACCTTTCAGAAGTAGACTGCCAAGGCCCTTCTTCCAACGTGCCTCTGGGTAGACCTGACCCTCCAACCTTTCAGTTACCAGGGGAGTGTCTTAACTGTCCTGCCCAGGGCCTTCTAGGTCATGCTAAACCAAAAAAAAAAAAAAAAAAACCTCACTGCCATTGTGTCCATTCGGACTCATAAAGATCCCCAGTGGGTTTCCAAAGCTATAAATCTTTGCAGAAGCAGACTTCCCCGTCATTCTTCTACAGAGTGGCTGGTGGGTTTGAACCACTGACTTTTTTTAATGCATTTTATTGAAATATAATTTATGTACAGTGAAATACACAAATCTAAAGTGACATGGGTCAATGCATTTTTTTTTTT